TTCCCTTCGTATCTATTTTTTTTTTCTCTATATTCTTTTAATCGTGACATCCTGTGTTCTTTTAGAATATCAAAATCAAATTATAAATCTTTATATGTTAGCTACTATAAACTTGTTTATGATGTGCAACCATGTTATTTTTTTTCTATTACAACAAATTGACAATTCAAGGTGAAGGTTTAAAAATAAGCAACCTTCATCTCATTGTCATTTACCCATTAAAAACTCATTATTTGATCTATAGATTATAATTTAATTTTTATTTTCTATACTTGTCTAATTGTTAAAATTTGAATATATTATTTAAAAATATTCTTCTTGTCTTCTAAAAGGAAAAATAAAGACACAAATTGATATTGATCTCAAAAAAGTGTCTTGATAATTTTTTTAAAACACCCTATAAATATTCTATAAAACAATGCAAATTTAGGCAATCTAGACTACAAAATTACAAAACTTTTGAATGAAGAACTATTTAAGAATAATGACAAATCGGATATTTTAGTTGAAAATAGTAAAAATAAATACAATTATCATAATGAAATTGAATATTTTAATGATGAAAATAAACATATTCTTGTTAAATAAATTAGTTGGTATAGCTATAAAATGAAATAATCTTAAAAGTGATTTATAAGAGAAATAACTAAAAATTGATTTTAAAAGAGATATATACATGTCTTAATACTTTTGATATCATAATAATTTTGCAAGTAAAAAATAATTAAATAATTAAATAATTAAGGACATATTTCTTTTGGTTTGCCTAGAGTATTAAATAATTTAGAGTCAGCCCAGATGCTTACTCTATCGATAAATGTTTTCAAGGCTGTTATACATTTTTTTTATGAGTAACATTTTTTGTGCGTAATAAATTGCTAAAATATACATTCTGAGTAAAATTGGATTAGGTTATTACTATTTTTTCTTAAGAGACGGCTTTAATAAACTCAATTATTGTTGACAATACGTATAGATTAATTAATGGACGACGAACTTGATTTCAACTCATATTTCAAAATTAAATACTTGAAAAATGTAAGAATGCTGTAGATTGATTCAGTTTGGTAATAATAAATTAGTACCGAAACATTCTCAAAGTAATGTTATTTAATTAAAAAAAATAGAAAAACATAAAGTTTTTGGAGAGAAAAAATAAAATTGGCTGAAAATAAAAACAATAATGAAAAGAAAAGAAAATAATTAAGATGATTACTTCCACCGCTTTTTTTTTTTTATAGAGAGATTACTTGCATCGTTATAATTTTCGTTTGAGGAAAACTAAATCACTAATATAGGATAGTTGTAATTACTTGGATCTTTGCCACTTATGATTCTCAAAGGTATCATTTGGATTTTTGGCTAAAAGATCGACCCAAGTGCAGAAAGGCACACGTTCCAAAGGGTGAAGAGATTGACTTTTAGTGAAATTGACCAAAATTTATCAAATTACACTCTTT